TGTTAAGGCCTCTCATAAAACAGAACTATCAGGAAGTCGTCATTTCTCTGATTATTTCTTGCCAGCCATAAAGCCAAATATAATTCACTTGTAATATTAGATATCTTGGTTAAATAACAGAAGAGATTCATGGCCCTCAAAACAGCTCCAGTGAGAATCACACTATCTTGTCTATGTGAATTGCTAGATTGGCCATATTTAAATGTCTTAAAAAACAGAACTATCATTTTATTTCATTATATTTTAATTTCTCGATAGGCTAAAAGCCAAATAAAATTCACTTGTTAGAGATCTAGCTTTAATAAGAAAAAAGATTCCCCACTCTGGAAATGGCTCCAGAGTTATCAAGGGGCTTAAATTGGGAATGTGTAGAGGTCAAGCAATTCATTATTTTCAAATAATTGTAATTTCTGCTTTCATTTGCATTGTGCCAACTAGTCAAATTTTAACTACTTTAAATATTAGACCCCTAGCACATATATTGGAAGAAATACAGGTTCCTCAAAACAGTACAAGGGAGTACAAATCTAGTGTGATGGTATTAGGGATTCCTAACAAGGGGTTCAAGTAGAAAACATTAAATTACCTAAGCAGTCAGTGAATCCCATTTTCTATAAGTAATATCAAATGATAGGGGAAGTTATGGTTGGCTGGTGTGAATCAATGGGAATATTAGGGAAACTTAGGGAAATTATACATGCACTCAAGGGATAATTAAGGTGCACTTAAGGGCAAATTAAGGTGGATTTAAGGGACAATTAAGGTTCAATTAATGTTTACCGAGGTTCATGTCAAGGGTAGATCATGATAAATTATTATCAGAAATGAGGGTCACATTGATTTCGGCCATATATTGAATACATATTTAAGAGGAAGTCATCAGGCTTAAAATTAACAAAATACATAATTTCCAATGAAATAAAATACTAGTACTAGTAATTACTTTTTTTGAGGAAAATGACTCAAAAAGACATGCTTAGAGTCCACCAAATCATTTCTATTAGTAGTTGACAATGACAATGTGTCTTCTAGTCAAATATTATTGAGCTGTAATAATAGACCTCTAGTCTCACTAATAAACCATACACATGCCTTCCCAAACAGCATGTTATATAATGTAAAAGGCTAGATTGGCCATGTTGATACATCTTACATATCATAAGTATCAGGTAGTTGTCACTTTTATTTTCATTTCATGTTAGTCTAAAAGCCAAATATTATTCACTTGTTATATTAGACATCCAGCTCAACTAATATAAGAGACATGTGACCCTCAAAACAGCCCCAGATAGAATCATAGTATCTTCATGAGAGATTCACATTATGATTTCAATGTAAGTGGCTAGACTGGCCATGTTAAGATGTCTTAAAAAGCAGAACTATTAGGTAGTTGTCACTTCTATTTCCAATTTTTGCTAACCTTATAGCTATATATTATACACCTGTGATATTAGGCATCTAGCTTAAATGACAAAGGAGATACCTGGGCTTCAAAACTGCCCCAGAGAGAATCACACTATGTTTTTAAACCAAATGGCTAGATTGGCAATTTTAAGGCCTCTTATAAAACAGAACTATCACATAGTCATACTTTCCCTGATTATTTCTTGCCAGCCATGAAGCCAAATATAATTCACTTGTAATATTAGATATCTAGGTTAAATAAAAAGAAATGCATGGCTCTCAAAACAGCTCCAGAGAGAATCAAACTATTTTGACAATGTCAATGTCTAGATTGGCCATATTAGAATGTCTTAAAAAACAAAACTATCGGGTAATTATCATATTTATTCTCATTTCTCTATAGCCTAAAAGCCAAATATAATTCGCTTGTTATAGCAGAGATCTAGCTTTGATAAAAAAGAAATTCCTGGCTCTCAAAATAGCTCCAGAGAGAATCAAGGTATGTTATCAAGGGGCTTAGATTGGCAATGTTTAGAGGTCAAACAATGCATAATTTTCAAAAAGTTGTAATTTATGTTTTCATTTTCATTGTGCCTACTAGTCAAATATTAACAACCTTAAATATGAAACCCCCACTGCATATATGGAATGAGAAATAGGTCCCTCAAATCAGCACAAGGGAGTAAAAATCTAGTGTAATGGTACTTCAGTGACTCCCCCAAAGCGGTTCAAGTAGAAAACATTAGATTGCTTGAGGCAAATGAAGCATTCAGTGAATTCTATTATATAAATAATATGAAATGTAAAATATAACCATCATTTTTAGAATTATTTACTGAAAAATCAATAGCTACATTATGAGTTTGGTACAAGGGGTCTTCAAAGTTTAGGGTAATTTGAGGGTAAATTCAGGGTAAATCATTTACCTTTTACATAGATCAAACTTTATCTATGGGGGCCTAAGTCTGATGGAATTTCATAATTCAGTTTCAAAAAAGTGAAATCATGGTTGACTGAAGTAAATTTAAGAATAATTAGCTAAAATAAACAAAATACATAATTTACCATGAGATAAGTATGATTATTTTATTAAGGAAATGACCGAAAAAGCCATGTTTAGAGATCCACCAAATCATACCTATTGGGTAGTTGTTCTTTTTTCATTTCTTTCTCCCAAGAAAGCCAAATATAATTCAGTTGTAATACGAGACATCTAGCTTAACTGCCCTAAAAACAGATCCTGAGACATTGACATTATAATATCAAGGTAAATGGCTTGATTGGCCATGTTAAGAAGTCTTTCAAAACAGAACTTTTGGGACATTGTCACTTTTATTTTCAATTCTTGCTAGCCCTAAAGCCAAATATAATTCAATTGTAATATAAGACATGTAGCTTATATAACAAAAGAGATACACTGCCTTCAAAACAGCTCCTGAGAGATTCACATTATAATATCAAGGTAAATGGCTTGATTGACCATGTTAAGATGTCTTACAAAACAGAGCTATCGGGTTGTGTCATTTTTATTTTCATTTTCTGCTCACCTTAAGCTAAATATAAACCACTTGTAATATTAGATATCTAGGTTAGATAATGAAAGGGAAACATGGCCCTCGAGACAGCCCCAGAGAGAACCACAATATGTTTTCAAAGCAAATGGCTATAGATTGGCCATGTTAAGGCCTCTCATAAAACAGAACTATCAGGAAGTCGTCATTTCTCTGATTATTTCTTGCCAGCCATAAAGCCAAATATAATTCACTTGTAATATTAGATATCTAGGTTAAATAACAGAAGAGATTCATGGCCCTCAAAACAGCTCCAGTGAGAATCACACTATCTTGTCAATGTGAATTGCTAGATTAGCCATATTTAAATGTCTTAAAAAACAGAACTATAATTTTATTGTCATTATATTTTAATTTCTCGATAGGCTAAAAGCCAAATAAAATTCACTTGTTATATTAGAGATCTAGCTTGAATAAGAAAAAAGATTCCCGACTCTGGAAATGGCTCCAGAGTTATCAAAGGGCTTAAATTGGGAATGTTAAGAGGTCAAGCAATTCATTATTTTCAAATAATTGTAATTTCTGCTTTCATTTCCATTGTGCCAACTAGTCAAATTTTAACTACTTTAAATTCTAGACCCCTAGCACATATATTGGAAGAAATACAGGTTCCTCAAAACAGTACAAGGGAGTACAAATCTAGTGTGATGGTATTAGGGATTCCTAACAAGGGGTTCAAGTAGAAAACATTAAATTACCTAAGCAGTCAGTGAATCCCATTTTCTATAAGTAATATCAAATGATAGGGGAAGTTATGGTTGGCTGGTGTGAATCAATGGGAATATTAGGGAAACTTAGGGAAATTATACAGGCACTCAAGGGATAATTAAGGTGCACTTAAGGGCAAATTAAGGTGGACTTAAGGGACAATTAAGGTTCAATTAATGTTTACCGAGGTTCATGTCAAGGGTAGATCATGATAAATTATTATCAGAAATGAGGGTCACATTGATTTCGGCCATATATTGAATACATATTTAAGAGGAAGTCATCAGGCTTAAAATTAACAAAATACATAATTGCCAATGAAATAAAATACTAGTAATTACTTTTTAAGGAAAATGACTCAAAAAGCCATGCTTAGAGTCCACTAAATCATACCCATAATAGTAGTTGACAATGTGCCTTTTAGTCAAATATTATTGAGCTGTAATAATAGACCTCTAGTCTCACTAATAAACCATTCTCATGCTTTCCAAAACAGCTCCAGGTAGGATTGCAGCATGTTATATAATGTAAAAGGCTAGACTGGCCATGTTGATACATCTTATATATCATAAGTATCAGGTAGTTGTCACTTTTATTTTCATTTCATGGTAGTATAAGAGCCAAATATTATTTGTTATATAAGACTTCCAGCTCAACTCATATAAGAGTTTTGTTAGTTATACAAGTGGTCTTATACAATATATACTTATCATCTGACTGGTAGACTATAGTTCTTTAAGATAAATGATATTTATAGACAAAAAGCAGATTACATAAAGTAACCTAGAAAATAGGGTAACTGAGGTTAATTAAGGTAAAATAAGGTCGATTGGGGTTTATTTAGGTATATTAAGATCACACATATTTAGCCCTTAACTGACCCTTATAATTCCCCAACATCTAGTTATGAGTAAAGTTAGGTTAATTTCCCAAATATTGAGGGTAATTTTGGATTAAGGTTGACATTAAGGTAAGTTAATGCTACATTTGGGTAAACCAAGGGTAATGCCCTAAACTTTTTTCCTAAGGGTTAGCTTCACAAATTTTCTCAATCATCTACTCTTAAACACATGATTAAAGACAAGGTTGGACTTACCAAGTAAAGGATAATCTTGCCATTTGTGTTTTTGCAAGAAAATCAATTCATGACAATTCAGTCACAAGATTGTTCCAAACTATCTTCTGTACAACTGTCTGGCATCCCCATCTTCTCACCATTTAGGATTTGGTATCACCAAGACAAGATCATGGGATACTTCTTTCGTAGTTAAGTCATTGTAATACATGTTCAACACTAGCTGGGGTTTTATTTGACAGCCCAAGAACAGAGTTACTGCAGGTTACTGTCTACGGATCAGCACTGGTGCCCCTGTTCCAGAAGGTGCAGACTCTGTCATACAGGTGGAGGATACTCAACTTACTAAAGAAGGGGATGATGGTAAAACTGAGCTAGAGATTAATGTGCTTAAAGCCCCTAGAATTGGTCAAGATATAAGGTAGGGATAAATATTTTTTAAGAATATAATGGCCTACTTAAAATAACCATTTAAAAACATGCTCGTTTCCAAAGATAACTAAGATGATTTACAAATAATGAAATACAAGAAAATATCTGTTTCTCCTCACACGTCCCTAAAAATATATTGAGGAACTTCACAATGAAACACTCGGTTGTGTTTTCTAGACCAATGGGTTGTGATATTGGTAAGGGTGACAAGATACTTTGTGCTGATATGAGGCTGGGTCCTGCTGAGCTTGGCCTGCTTGCAACTGTAGGCTGTGCTCAGGTGATGTGCTATAAAACACCTACCGTTGGTGTTCTTTCTACAGGCAATGAGGTATGTGATGTTAAGTTTATTTCAAATATGAGAACATATATTTACTCTTTGTTACATGTCCCCTAGCTATGAATTGTTGCCTTGACTGTTTAATGTTATTTATCGTTATGACAACTTCCAAACCTCCATTACACATTAAAATGTACCCAATTTAGATTTCTTAGTATTTTGGGAAAGGGGAAATTAATGAAGTAAAAATGCTCATGATAACATCCAACACAGGTGCTCAGGTGATGTGCTATAAAACACCTACAGTTGGTGTCCTTTCTACAGGCAATGAGGTATGTGATGTTAAGTTTATTTCAAATATGAGAACATATATTTACTCTTTGTTACATGTCCCCTAGCTATGAATTGTTGCCTTGACTGTTTAATGTTATTTATCGTTATGACAACTTCCAAACCTCCATTACACATTAAAATGTACCCAATTTAGATTTCTTAGTATTTTGGGAAAGGGGAAATTAATGAAGTAAAAATGCTCATGATAACATCCAACACATCATCAGTCCACCTCTGAACCACTTAAAATATGATACGTGGTAACACACAGTTCTCTAATATGTATTCATTTGTAACACCTAGCTTGTTGAACCTGATCAGCCTCTAAGACCTGGCAAGATCAGAGACAGTAACAGAACCACCCTAATGGCTGTTCTCAAGGAACATGGCTTTACATATGTTGACCTTGGTGTTGCTACTGATGACCCGCAATCTTTGATGAATCTGTTACGTCAAGCATTAAAGTCATGTGATGTGATTGTTACTTCTGGTGGTGTCTCCATGGGGGAAAAGGTAAGCCTGTTAGGTTAGTTGGGTTAGATCCACAAAATGGGATCCCTATAATTAGACTCAATATTTAAATAAACACTTACATTTTGTAAATCAGTTTTATACTTAATCATACTGTAACCATTGGTAGCATTAGGATCCAACTGCCAGCGGACAGTTTAACATAAGATGTTATGCCCAAATCATTTAAATATGAATTTAACCTGCCACTTCTGTTCATATTTAAATGCATTTGCCATAAAATTGTAAGTTAAACAGTCAGCCAGTAGTTGAATTTGTGAATGCTAGCTTAAATTGTCAATCTATGCACTGCTTAACATACTTGATCAAAATGTTTCTGTTTTAGGATTTACTGAAGGCAGTTTTACAGGCTGATATGCATGCCAAGGTTCATTTTGGACGTGTCTTCATGAAACCAGGGTAAGTTGTCAGAGCTACATGCACAAATAGAGCTGCAAGTCTTTCTAAGAAATCCACTGCTTTCTTAAAAAGATGGCAGCAAAAGCAATTTCATGAAGTTTAATAATTACATCCATTACAGCCAGGGGTGATAATTGTAAATCAATACCCACTACATAACATCACTTTGGTTTTTACAGTAAACCTACTACTTTTGCCACTGCAAAGTATGATGGGAAGAAGAAGCTTTTCTTTTGTCTACCTGGAAATCCAGTTTCTGCCACTGTCACTTGTAACTTGTATGTTGTACCCTCACTGAGGAAGATGTCTGGCAACACTACACCTTTGAGTAGTATTGTTAAAGCAAAGGTAGGTTCTTCGACACCATGATAATCAAGTTTAATAGTGTTACCTTAAAAGATGTGATATGGCCACCATTTTGTTGATCAGCACCTGTAATTAGGTGCATTGACACCATTGTATAAAATGATAATAAAGTTGAATTAATTTTAAATCTTGTTTTCAAATATGTAATTGGTTTTTTTTGATAATACTGAAAATTAAAAAAGTTATAAAAGAAAAATTGATCCTAAAACAATTTTGTCCAGGCTACTATTGTTACCTTTAAAGATGTGACATATTGATATTGCCACCATCTTTTATCACCGGCACCTTTAACAAGTGGTTACACTATTTTATTCATTTAGGCTTCAAATCCAATATTTTTGTGTATATCCTTTACTGAAACTTCAAAACTTCAAAACAAATAACTTAATTTGAAAAGATGGCATTACTAAACTCTATTTCTGTATGGATTTTTGTGTGTAACTAAACATAAGCAAAAAATAAAATACAGGTTAGAATAATTCCAAAGAATGACTGATGAACATGTTTGTAATGATTAAATCTCCAAAATAATAAAATAAACAACAAAAAAGCAATAGTGTTTTGAATTATGCAAACTGTATGTACTATATTTATCATACAAATAGTACTATCATCTACGGCTGAAAATTAACTCCAGCTCTGTATATTTACTCATACTAAGTTCATGGGGATATAGAGAAAAACTCTTGTCTGTCCGTGTGTAGGTCTGTCCGTCTGTGTGGGCAATAACTCCAATACTGTTGGCCCAATATTGTTTATATTTTATATGTGTATGTCCCATGTAAGTACAAGTTCTGCTCAAAAGCCAATTTTTAAAATGGCCACCATTATAATGTAAATTTTACAGTATCTTTGTCTTGCCATGTAAATATATAATATTACTAAGTTTGCAATGCAAAAACTTATAAAGGATAATAATGAAGTTGAAATCTTATTATCTTATAAAAACATGTGGCCATCTTGAAAAATGGTGGCCATCGTGGTACACTGTCTAATGACAGTTTTGACTTGTATTTTACGTTTTTTGCTACAACTGGAAAAGTAGTGGAGCGATTTTGTTGAAATTTTATTTGTGAATACTTTGAATCTTATTACATTTTTTATGACAATTGGTCGAGTGAGTTATTTCTATTTTTTGCTATAAACTGGAGAAATGGAAAAGCAATTTTTGCAAATTTTTATTTCGGAAATTTGGAAGCATATTACACTTTCTAGTGAGCAGCCATTTTGAAAAGTAATGGCCATTTTTATGTGTGTTAATTTATGTTGTTGTTATAACTGAAAAAATAGTTGAACAAAACTATCAATTTGTCTGATATGCAACCATTTGAAAAAAATACAGCAATTTTTATATTAGTTATTTTACCTTTCACTATAACTTGAAAAGTAGTGGAGCTATACTGTAAGTATTTCATTTGTAACATGACAATTCATCTAATAGGCGACCATTTCCAAACACGGCTGTTTGATGGGATTTGCTACGCCTTGGTGTTGCTGCTATCTAGTTAATTTTGGAATTTTTCCAACCTGGAAGTCATCAGTTTGCTAGACCATAAAACCTGTTTGGTTATATACTGCTCACTCATACCTGGCGGATCTCCCACAATTTTATAAACAAATATTCAACCACTATCAACAAACTTCTAGCTGGCCTGGTAATAGCATATTTCACCAACAGACTGGCTTACCTGGAGAGTAAATAAATAATGTGGTCAGTGGGTGTACTTGTACGTTAGTTATCCCCAACTGTTATGCAATTGAAAAGGGAGAAAGCATGTTGAGAAAAAGTCCATTGTGGTGGAACTCTTCAAAATGTAAAAGAAGAGAATGAGACATGGTGTCACTTTGATCAACTTATTTTAGTAAAAATATCAAATCTGGCAAAAAATTTAATTAAAAAGACAACGGGCAACATTTGAGAAAAACAATGATATACATTATATCATTCAGACATGCTATTAATCGTTTTGCCACAGATGAAAGCAAGAAAATATTTATCACCACCAACTTAATCCTTGCTCCTGAGTTGTATAAGTGAAGTTTGAGTAATAAACATTTAGAATTGTTCTCAAGTGGCTCTATCTGGATAATTGTATCAATTAAGAGGTCTGGGTTGTTTTGTTTTTGTTATATACGCCTTTGTTTCATCCATCTCATCCCCTATTGTATTTTTTAATTAAAGAGGAAACAAAGACTACAGACAATTTGAGAGTAACTTTTGGTAATTTTTATTAATTTGATATTTCGATTCTTTTTTAGTCGTTCAGTAAAAATTATAAGGGAAACTGGCAGTCACTGTTTAAAGATTGTTTCCCCCATTTCACACTCTCTGTTTCTTGCTCCTACTTTAATTTTCAAGAATTTTTCAGATAAAGTAGATTAAATTACTCTTCCCATTCTTCTACTTTGTTATCCTGACTTAAAAAACAAGATGACATGGATTACCACAATTAAAACTATTTGTTTGATTGGACCAAATTCAACAACTACAAAACATCACATTTTCTTACATTTAGTACAACATAATAAACCTTCAAATAAGGGAACAATTTTGAATGAAAGTCCATCAAATAATGTAGTAATAGCAATAAGAAATAAAACATTGAAATTGAAATGAATTCTACATGGAGCCCCTTCAGTAGCGATGTCGAAAGTCAACAAGTTGAACTACTCTCGGCTTGCTGTCAGGATAAACATCAGATTGGAATTGCTTGGAATCTTTAAAAAATCCAAAACTAAATAAACATTGTAACTAAATCCTTTGAAATACCTTTTAGCAAAAGGAAGTATGTGTCTTCTGCGAATGCTTTGCTTATTTGTGAATACAAAATACCAGTGCATCAATTATCTAACTATCAAATGTTAGGTAATACTCATAGCTTTTTGCAAGATTTTTAGCTCTTTTCAAGTTTCCACATGCTCCGTGTAGACTAAATATCAATAGAACTTGGTAATGATTTGGATTAAATTGAGTAGCATATAACTACCTGAAGGTTCTAACCTTTAACATAAAACTGGAAAGATTAGCACTGTAATACTAAAAAGAACTCCAACTGCAGACATTTATAACCAACCCATAAACATCATGATCTCAGATATACCACTTTAAGACTTTGGAGGATGGACATTGTATTTAAATGGTGTCCGATTCTCAATGTTGTTTGTTGGTTTGAATAAAGCATAATGTAATAAAACATTAATGAATGATTTATTTTTTGGCATTTAAGGAACATCACACCATCAAGATACTACAAACTACCAACTGCATCAATAATATAATTTATACTCAATTTCAACAATGAAAGGTTGTATAACAAACATTTAATCTTTCATCATATCATAATATACACACATTAAAGAACAGGAAAAATACTAAATTGAGAGTCTGATTCATCATTCATATGTCTCACCTTCACAGCATAAAAACGTCTACATCTGGCGCTATAGAATCCATACTCTTTCCCCTGTAAAAGTTCCAATTTCTGACAGCCAGTTTCCGTGCAACGGATCCAGGCCTATTATTGCATGTGCTTAAATCATGCCAGATTCATAAAACAAATGAATTAGAACATTACATGAATTGTACTTTAAGTACAGGATGTTTTTTGAAATTTGACTCTACACCACTCAAAATATGTGTTGTAACAGCTTATTTTAAAACTTCTAATAATTATGTATGTTTATGCTTAATTATTATGAACTATAAGAGTAAATTTAAATGTTTTTGGCTTTATTATATGCAAAATTGAAGGTATTTAAGATTATATTAAAATATACTTTGTACATTTTCAGATTTCTGCATCGTAAAATTCAAAATGGCTCTCTCAATGCTTTGATTTCTGTACAAAGTATGCTTTAAGTATAGTGTTTATCATTCAATCATGAAAAATAAATATATTCACTTCAATAATATAATAAAACCTTTTAAATTTGAAATGGTATGAATTTTTATTAATGCTGCAAAGTATGCCTTCACTGTATTGGAATGATACATTGGTATAATGCTGGAAATATCAGTTAATAAATGAAACAAACTTTCAGATTTTTATGCAGATTGCTCATGAATATGAATACATTATAAATTCTTAGTTGCTAAGCTGTGCAATCTATTCCTTTGTGATGTACTGCAGGGCCAGATTTTATTTTATTTTAATATTTAGTAGTAAGTTGAAATGGTTTCAAGATAAAAAGAAAAATCTAAAATATTTACCTAAATACTGGAATTCATATTTATTATGAGGTCTCGTCACTAATATCTTATTCACATATAGCGAGGCAAGGTGTGTCCGATTCCAGCCAATCCGAACAGAGTATTCACATAATGAACAGTGTGTGAAATATCAATAACACATGCAATGTCACTAGTTAAACAGTTGTCATGGTGATGAATGGATTTTTCACATTGGATTTGATGACTTGCCAACTTGACCCTTGCAAAAAATTTCATCGTAAATGTGTTCTTTTAGTGATTTCATTCCTTTTAGAGACATTTTATAGAAAAAATTGCAATGTGTGAAAAGAATTTAAGCCCAAGACAGTGCATTGTAGCTGCTTCATTCCACTTAAACGTTGTTTCCTAAACTTTGCGCGGTCATGCAAAGGTTTGGAAACAACACCTTCATGGTATGATTCAGCAAACAATGCACTTAAATCCTTTCATAATAATGTGGTAAATAATGTAATTATGATGTATTCATATTTGATATGTGCATTCTCATAAACATTGATACACTCGTTTTGACAATTTGGCTGCCATTTTATGTGTATTATTTTTTTTTGCTATAACTCACAAAGTAGTGGAGTAGTTGTATGGAATTTTACATGTGACCCTTTAGAAGCATAATACTTTCTTGTGACAATTTGGCCATTGAGCGGAAATTTTGAAAATGGTCAACGTTTTTATTATGAGTTATTTTACGTGTGTTTGCTATAACTGAAAAAGCAAAGTAGTGATTTTGTTAAATGATACATGTGAGAAATGT